TGTAAAAAACTATGTAGTTTTATTAGTTCTTTTAATTACTTCAGCACCAACGACCACAAATGCATACTTACACAAAGTTTTTTTGGGATCGAGGGGTAATGTATTATATTCCGTCAGAGATAATACCCACCTCAAATCTTACGTGCTTTTTGCTCATGCATTAAGTGGTTCTGATACCAATAGTGAGATTTGCAACAAGGAAAAAAAAAATGCTTACTCTATTCAAAAAACATTCAATTTTATCTGAAATCAACACCATTTTCTGTAAAACGTTTGAGGATTTTGTCGAAGAAACAATGCAAACAGAATTCGAAGTAAGTGAAGACAGAATGAGGGATACTTTTGTTCAACTTCAGTTGGAAAAAGCAAAAAAAAAGATTTTGTATTTGTATGATAAGACATATAAACTTGGTAGCAGCAGTGACGAATTACGGTATAAACTTTTCTGCAGATTGGCGACTTCACCAAGAAAACAAGTTTCATTAGCGACGCTCCCGCCAACCACAGAGGCTTTCGAAGAACACGCCAAACGAGTTTACTTGCAAGTCCAGGCATGGCTAGGGAAAGACATGGAGCCTACGTACTGGGGATGGCAAAAGACAAGAATTATAGTGTTTACTATATTATACAGCATTATTATATTCTTTAGTATGTTTTTATTGGAAATAGTAAATGGAATTTTTTTTCATTTTTTTAAAAGATTTTTTACTCATGCCGTTGTGATTGTCGCACAAAATTGCATATGCGTGAAAAAAATGGGCTGCTGTGTACACGTATATGTAAAAGTTGCAATGGGGATAGTCGCGAAAATGTTTATATCAGTGTGCATATTGATAATGAAGTATGTTTTGATGATGTGATTGATTTAGTCGGTAAACTACCAATGACGGTAATTAAAGACAATGACCAGAAGTACGGGGCTTATGTTGTTGTTTTTTTTTTTATTAACTAACTAAGTGATTTAGGATCGATTGCGTTATATTATTTAAGTCTTTATGTTTACAAGACTATGGGTATGTTTATCGGATCAGTACACTAAAGAGTTTGGATTAAACTGCATTTCTTATTTTCCTGGAGGTCTGATACCACTTTAAAATTTTGTCTCTATCTTACTAAATTCTGTTGCTGGTAGAGGTGTCGATTATCGATGGCACAAATTTAATACGATTGGGACACCAGGAACAATTTGCTATGATGTTCTGATAATTTTCAACTAATTGTCACCTGATACTCGTATGATCATCACCTAATATACAACTATAGTTATTATCATCTAATTATCACATCAAAACCAGGTAAACGTCATGTGAACGCTTAATCATCCTTGCTTAACATCTACTGAACAGAGCACAACTGTTATTGACATGATTTTTACATATTACTTATCACCTGATATTCGCAGGATTTCCACTTATCAATTATTTGATAGTATCTAACTGAATATTTAGGGGTCATTGAGGGTATAATTGCGGTTGCTCTAATTATTGTGGTACTCTCAAATAATGCGTATATTTTAATTGAACTGATGAGTTATGGTGGGTAAACACTTGAAATCATTAAAACAAGTTAGAGAGTACCTAATCCATTGAACTTCAGTTCCCAAATAGCCTTAAAAACTTTACATTTGCATAACAAAAATCATAGAGGTATAAGAATAGAGGAGGAAAGGGGGCGTGATATGCGACAGCAGAATTCGCTACGTGACGGGGTATCTATCTTTGTCTGGCAGTTATATTATTGGTCAAGTCCTACATGAGATCGAATCAACTGTAGGATTCAGGACGAAGAAGTAGCCAGTAACGTGGCTTTGGCAACAAGGACAGATGCCACGTTACACTTAATTATGCTGTCGCTGCCGCTAATGGGCTAGTATAGCGCTTTTCCCCTCGATTCTTATACCTCTATGACAAAAATTCACATCCACAATAACTGGTGCACACATAACCTCATATGCTATGATGGTATTATTGCGGGTACCCCGTTGATTTCGCATTAAAATTGACCTAAATAATACGTGCACAATAATATATACATGCCCGCAATAATACCAGAATTGGCAACTGAACTTTAAAACCTCTTTTTAAATCAATTTTCATGAGTTTATATATTTCTAAAAGCGGAATAGTAGTTTTTGAGTCTATCTTACTAATATATAAAGCAGAAGCGCTAAAACCGTTGTAATCGCTAAAAGACCTATTAAATTTAGGTGAACCCTCATTTTCTCTAAATACTGAGTTTAATAACATACAAGTTAGAAGTTTCACTTCTGCCTGGAGTCACGAGACCCACGCCTGGTTTTTGACTAGCAAGTAACATTGCTTCTACTGGAAAGGACATTACTGCACTCTTTCTTTGTCATACCTTAAACTTCTTGTATTTTTTTGCATTTCTATTACAGTAAAATTATTATTTTGCATTTGTTATCATTTGGCAGCTTTCACAACTTTCCAACGACAATACAAGACGTGCTCTCATCGAATCATAATTAATAATGCATTTTGCCAAGATCTATTGTTATGTTGTTATTGTCAGAACAAGCGCGTGCGAGTGCACCATGCTTTCCAACCATAAGGCAATGAACCAACACCTCACACAATACTGTGACAATCCACTGTTTCGTATGCGAACAAGGCCACTAATTTAGGCTGATCAGTATTTCTGAGTTCCTAAAGAAGAAAACGATGTACTATATGAACCGCAAACAGATACACAACACCACCTTACGCATCTGTTCTGATAAGTCATTTAGTTATAACTAGACGCTCACTCTCCAGGGCGTACTACTACCCACGGTAGAGCTAAGGTTTGTGACGGGGAATTTGTGACGTAGGAAAGCAACATCACAGTTATAATATATGATTCGGCAGACAAAAGGAGAGGCAGTATGATGCTCTGTCGCCCTACGTTATCATACCCCTATGTAGCGGCCGAGTATACTCCCATTATGAGAGTACAGTCAAAACTCGGCCGTGCATAATAGCAGATATTTTCACGCACCAACATATATACGTAGTGAGGGCACAAGAGCAGCAAACACATATGAGCCAGCAAGATATACATTTTCACACTTGTCTGTGTACCATGCAAACGTGTTGTGCTGGACAACTTTGTAGGATGACGTTTGTGAAGAGCAAAATCACGCCTTTCAGCAGCAGCAACAACGATTGCCTGTACCGTAGAACCACCAAAGACTTCTACACCCGAGTGCACAATTGCCCATCGGATGTTCCAGTACCCGTCTTGTCTAATTCACCAGTGCGGCAAAAGCTACGTGGACACGGTACGCTTTCTCCTTGTAATACATCTTACGCCTTGAGCACTGTGTCGAGCGACAATTACCGATCCCACACCGTTGGGGTTGAAGAAGGACTCAGTTAATTATAGTCTGATAGTAGGGCGACATATTAAACAGTACGCATGCCATGCCTTGCTGCTCACAGCAAGGTGAGTAAGGTGCGGCGTATGATTTTTATTGTTGCATATGAATCAGTCGAATGTGAATCAGTGTGTGTTATGGTTCTAAAAAATTAAGGAATGCTAAAATATATTTATAGCATGCAAACAGTTGGGCAACAAATTTTCATTTATTTTATTATTTAAGGTACTATTTTGCATCTCATGATTGATATTTAATGTTTTGTTACATTAAATGGAAACAATTCCTCCGATTTGTTAAATATAATGGATTAGCCAGTGGCTAAGCTTTAGAAACACAATATTATACAGAGTAACAAAATAAGGTGTACAAATAATTGATGCTAACCCAAAGCAAGATTCTCTCAGCAAGTTCATCATAATTTAAAAAAAAAAAACTAAATTATTTGTAACGATTTGTGTCTTACCATATGTTATACTACACCGAATCAAAATATTTGTTTGGAATGGAGACCGAATGTATCCAGAATACATCTAAACTTTTTTTGAATGATGCTGGTATAAATTCAGTGATAATGATCACATCTTAATTACAGTTGGTTTTTGTTACCAAGGATACGCGTTGCATCAATGTATTAAAAGAATTCGNTCCGAAAAAATATGTTTTCAATAACAAGATTTTTGTTTTGAGATGTATCAGGAATATGTGTAAAATTTCTAACTTAAAATGTTTCACATTACATGTCAACACACTACGGTGTTTTATTTAGTAAGTCTCGGGCGAAGCCGAGACGGGGGGCTGCTAGTCATTGATAAAAAAAAAAAAAAAAATTACAACGATTTGACGAACAAATTTCTTACACAAACGTTTACAGCTAACCTCTAAAAAACCGCAATAATACCCCCGTTTACCCCTAGAAATGATCACCTGGAAATCAAGTGATGATTACGTAAAAGTCAGGTAGGGTTTAGGTTAATATCATGCCAAAATGTACAATAATTATCATCTTAATTACCTGACATTCAAAAACCAAAGAAATAATATATAGCTTCTTTATTACATCATGCTCCTAACCTAATAGTAGTTCCTAAGTTAAAATCTGATCTAATTAAACCAGCATTACATAATTCTCAACAACAGTAATTTCACTATGCTACAATCACTTTAGATTTGAACTAATTCGTTTTCCTAAACTGACCCTACAATTACAAGCATGGAAGTAAACATGTCCAATCGCAACAAGTAGAAATGCAAAGGAATTTTTTTTCATATAAGGTAAACTCAATACACTATTTCACCAGTGCACTGATGTTAATCATCCAATTTTTATTACTGACACTCCTACAATAAATATTTTTAACCTCTTAGAAGGATATCTAAATCTTGATAATTTATAAAATAATAACCCTTAGAAGGGGCATTTTTACCACTTTTGGTTAATGCAGAATAAAAAGTACCAGTCTATGGTGATGGAATTTGGAGTGCATATACTCTTTAACAATAGAACGAGTCTAGTAATGCAAGATTTGAAGAATCTGCTTGGAAGTACAAAGCAAGTCCATAAATAAAAAAGTAAATAATTAAATGCAGATCAATTTCGTAGAGACACGATTTTTGTTGTTACCAATATGATTTTGTTGACCATGAAATACACTGAACGGAAGATTATTAATTGGCGGTTGTAGTGGATGAACAGCTTTGGATGGAAGACGGTGATTTCCTGAGGCTAATGTTGTATTTTTTCTCCTTCTTCTTACTTGTTGACGAAGAGCATGCTTAACTACTTTTTTTCTATGTACCATACTAGAATAATGGGAATAATTCAAATCATTTTTACTACAAAAGTTCTGAGAGCTTGATTTTGTTTCCATACTGTAAAATAATATTCTGCTTCATGTCACCACTCACTAATGCACAATTTACTTAAGCCTAAAAACCATTATTAATTCAATGTATAATGTATCAGTCAGGGAACTAGTACAGCAGTCTTTTTATGTCACTAATACAACAAATAACAAAAATTTTCATGGTACAAGCAACGTCAACAAACAAGGAAATTGTTTTAAACATTTTAACTATTTATAAAGAAATGTTTTTTATGGTTCTGTAATAAAGAAGAGGTTCAAAGGCTATACTGTAGCACAAATAAACATTATTTAGTTGCAATTACAGTGCACTGAACTTGCATTTCTCTATGGTCTGTTACTTTATTTACTTAAACAAATTATCCAAACAACAGTTGCAAACTACTGACGTTAGGGCAATTTCGTGCTTCGTTTATTCGCTACGTGCACAAGCTGAAAAAGCGATCGCAGCAATACCTGTGCTAATATGTGAAACTAAACGATAGGTTTGTCTTCTGCTAGCAGACTACTAAGCATTACTATCATCAGTAAGTTATGTGTTTATACATCGACAACCATTCTAAGGATTAAATTTTTACTTAAATCATGAGTAGTATGAACATACTTTACTTATTTATGTTCATTTTAAAAATGCAATGAAATACATCGTATTCGCTACGTGCACAAGCTGAAAAAGCAATCGCAGCAATACCTGTGCTAATATGTGAAACTAAACGATAGGTTTGTTTTCTGCTAGCAGACTGCTAAGCATTACTATCATCAGAAAGTTATGTGTTTATACATCGACAACCATTCTAAGGGTTAAATTTTTAATAAAATTATGAGTAGTATGTACATATTTTACTCATGCATGTTCATTAAAAAACGCAGTGAAATACATTGGATACCGTGTATTTCTTAGAGTTTTGAGCTGGGGCCTGATCCTCTCAGCGTATCGTATGAACGTGTTACATACTATGTGAACACGCCGGTATAGGGCTAACGGAGCTCTCTGATTGGTCAGAGGAGGTCTGTGTTGACTGCATTGCAAACTAGTAAAACATATCTCGTATCACACAGTACACACGGACATACTCAAGCGCTTAAAGTGCTTGTAGTACAAATTTTGTCTTTAGTTATTCACATAGGATTGTACCACTTGAGAGATTTTATTAATTCGTGATATAATAAACACAGAACCTTTCGTGTATCTATCGAGGTACTGGGTTCCTATAGGTATCAAGCACATATCGCGAATATTGCCTTCTGCTGTGCCAGACCAATAGTTCTCGTTTTCCCCTAGGATGGCGCTGCTTCAAAATTGTGCACGTAGCGAATAAGGTGTGTTCATAAGCCAAAATTCGGCGACTACGGGCGACCCCATGGTGCAAAAAATACATTTGGGTGTAATCCGCAATCGCCGCCAGCAGTTACATGTGTAAGACGTGACAACGTTGCGTGGTTGGGGGCGCTACTGTCGATTTGCTGGTAATGTGATCCGCAATCCCGCCTGCAGTAAGGCTGTTATTTCCATTTTTCTTTTTGGCACTTAAAACTATTTTTTTGGTCTGCGTGTTTGTTTACGTCCAGCACAATATACTTTGTTTACAATCAGAAAATGTCACGAAAAAGAGCAAGTAGACTGACGTCGTCTGCTTTACTGCTGGCGGGATTACGGATCACATCACCAGTAAATCGACAGTAGCGCCTCCAACCACGCAACGTTGTCACGTCTTACATATGCAGCATTGGGTAAGTTGGGTTAGGCGGATTCAAAATCGGAACTTTTTCCCAAGATCGTATATATAGCTATACGATCTAGGGAGAATGTTCTGTCGAGCAGACAGCACAGCAGTGAAGGGGCATTGCCAAAGACACGCGGAAATTCAAAATTGTAGTATTAATTACACAAGTGCCTATCACCCAATGACCCGGGGCGCTTACTGGCCACTCTTTTAAATAAATAATTTTTAAAATAACACAAGCGCCTATCACCTCTTGACCCGGGGCGCTTACTGGCCACTCTGTTAAATAAATAATTATTAAAATAACACAAGCGCCTATCACCTTATGATCCGGGGCGCTTACTGGCTACTATTAAATAATAAATTATCAAGGAATTACAAGAGCGCCATTTAAAAAGATCTTTGTCGTACTAGATAGGCAATCAAAATTGTGATATGTTTACATATGTCATCGATCAACTTTTTATTATTTAATAGTGTTGCAAATAAGTGTCCTGGATCATCAGGAAAAAGGTGCTTGACATATTTATTAATAATTATTTATTTACTAGATTTGCAATTAGCGCCCCAGGTTATACGGTGATAAGTGCTTATGTTATTAATAATTATTCATTAAAAAGAGTGGCCAGTTAGCGCCCCGGGTCATTGGGTGATAGGCGCTTATGTTATTAATTTTACAATTTTGAATTTTCGCGTGTCTTTGGCAATGCCCCTTCACTGCAGTGCTGTCTGCTCGACGGAACATTCTCCCTAGATCGTATAGCTATATATACGATCTAAGGAAAAAGTTCCGATATTGAATCCGCCTAACCCAACGCTGTACATATGTAACTGCTGCCACTGCTGGCGGTGATTGCGGATTACACCCAAGGTCACGGGGTATGAAAAGACAGGTGGTACGAAGTACGAAGTACCACCTCCAACTGGTTGCAGTTTTGAAGCAGTACCGATCATTCGTCAGATGGCGTATGAGTAAGAAAGGCACAATGCAACAATATAGATATAAAAACTATATGATATAATCGCAACTCTATTTATTTACAAATTTTACAATCTACTACTTTTACGTAGAATAAGATACAATGGAAGCAACAAATTGATGAATTAAAAATTAGGTTGAAACCAATTTCGATTTTTTTTTTTCTTTCTACTTTCTTTTAAGACATCCTTATTTTGTATGTTGACGTACTGTCTTATTCTCATGCTAGTGTAATAATAGAAAGATTTGGACAGTGCATTCTCTTTATGTATAAGTTTACAAGGGAACTGAAACTTATAATTGCGCAAAAGATTTTCACCAACATATTCGTAAACATTGACAAGCTGATTATTTATGGCTACTCTAAAATATTTTTCTATTTTATCAAAGAGTTTGTAAAAAAGAGTATTTGCATGGATGAGTCCTCCCC